GCGGGGAGCCCGCTTCTCCATCTGCCTCTGCCTCTCTCTCTCTCTGTCTCTCATGAATAAATAAATAAAATCTTAAAAAAAAAAAAAAGAAACCCAACATATACAGCATGTGTGTGCACACAAACGGAACAGAACTGGAAATGAATCTATCTTTCCTCTGCCTCAAGTGACAGCTTTGTTAATTCATGACAAACCATATAAATAGCTTCTATTTAGAATTTATATGTATGCCTTTTCTATTGCTGTTTATAGCCGTCTGGTAAGAACGAGCAAACATGGGTTCTACTTATGTCAACAGGCAGAGTTCCTACAGTATAGTTATTCAAAGTAAGTGATTTTTAATGGGTTCTGATGTAAATAGACAAGCTACAGATGCATTTATGAATTTGGATGCCTGCTTACATAAACAATAAAGCATGGTGGCTGAAAGCAGATCACTGGGAGCCAGACTGGCTTCTGTCCCATCCTGGGTCCACTATTTACTAGCTTTATAGATGCAGTCATCTTGGACACTGCATCTATAAAGATAAATAATGACATTAGCAACCTCATAGGTTATCATGAGGATTAAATAAGTTAATACATGGAAAGCACCCGGCACATGTTAAGTGCTTACCACGGGGGAAGTGTTCTACAAATGTCCCCTGTTGGTTTTGCTCACATAAAGCAATAATACTGTATTTCATAGATAAAGGTGGGATTTTTGTCAGAAGTATACCAGGGCCTGATATACTAAGTATAGATAAGGGGGTCCAGGAATTTAATACCACATTTGTTACCTTCAGGGTTGAGATTTAGTTAGCGTGTTAAGGAGAATGACAGTATTTTCCGAGTTCAAATATGACATTTACTCTGGTATTGTTAGCATATGAAATAGTTACAACAGTAGTAGAGAGTCTTCATGTATGCAGCTTCCCTTAGACTTATTTTTGAAAAGTACATTTCTCTAAAATAAATAGATTAAATCTTTAAAAAACACATTTTTCTAATTATTTGAATATATTATGTCCCATTTAACCTAATTGTGACAAATTAAGGGAAGGAAGCTGAGCTGAGGGAAGCTTTCACTATGTGAAACACGTTAGAATATCATCAACAAAAGTTTTTTTTTTTTTTTTCTTCAGACTTTGTGCTTCATTCTGGAGGAAAACAAGAGTATGGCATCTTGAATTTCTTCACTGGGTAATTTAAAACCCAGTTATATTGTGCACAGCAGCTGCACACATCATGTTACTTGAGTTCAGCATCAATTAGTTACAAATGAAACTGGTCATATGTTCTCTTTCATAGGTGTTACTATTCAAATCAAACACCCAAGTCAACAAAATGGTATGAATATTTACAACCATAAATCTTTTTATTAACTCTTTAGTTTGGGCTTTAAAAAAAGAACCCTCATTTTCTTTATTTCTTTATTTTATTTATTTATTTGACAGAGAGAGACACAGCGAGAGAGGGAACACAAGCAGGGGGAGTGGGGGAGGGAGAGGCAGGCTTCCCAAAGAGCAGGGAGCCCTATGCAGGGCTTGATCCCAGGACCCTGAGACCATGACCTGAGCCGAAGGCAGACGCTTAACCATCTGAGCCACCCAGGGCCCCCCCCTAAAATCCCTCATTTTAAATTCTTAGTTCTACTCTACTCAAATAGACTATAATAGCTAATAGCTAATACATATCCAGTCCTTACTATATTCCAGGTGCTGTTCTAGACACTAGTGTCACTCTAAAGAGAAAACTACAGAGTAGTTGCAGCTTTTAGATAATACAGCAACCTCAAGGAGAAGACAGTGAGGGCAGTACTGAAACAAATAATACATTATAAGTTTAAAAAAAAAAAGAAGATAGCAGGAAGGGAAAAACGAAGGGGGGGAAATCAGAGGGGGAGACGAACCATGAGAGACTTATGGACTCTGAGAAACAAACTGAGGGTTCTAGAGGGGAGGGGGTTGGGGGGTTGGGTTAGCCCGGTGATGGGTATTAAAGAGGGCACGTACTGAATGGAGCACTGGATGTTACACGCAAACAATGAATCATGGAACACTACATCAAAAACTAATGATGCAATGTATGGTGATTAACATAACAAATTTTTTTTAAAAAGAGTATGGAGTCTATAGACCACTGTTCTTGTATAGCATTTTTATACTGACATCTAGTTTTATGAACTAAAAACCTTGTATAATTTTTTTATTACTATTCTAGAAGGGAGAGTGGCGTTTTTCAAGGACTATGTTCCACTTGGTCTGTGTCTGATGCCAATTAACCAATAAAACCGTCCTCATTCTGCTGCTGTGGGAAATAAGCAACAGCAGAAAAGTAATAATGACTTTAAAGCATAATTCAGTTGTAAGCACAGCCAAGGAGACGGAAGAGAGACGAGTCCCTCAACAGCACTACGTCCCAGCGCTCTCCCCGGGGGGCGCTTGCCAGCTTCCCCTCCCCCACTCCCCTCCTCCCGCGGACGGGAGCATTTGCCCGGAGCAGAAGGGGCGGACCCTGTACCGGGCGAGGAGCTGGAGGCGGGTCCCCGGGGCTCGGGGGCGGTGCTCCCGGGAGTCGCGGAGCCGACCTCTGGGCCCCCGGCGGGTGCTCGCGAACGCCGGGGCGTGCACGGAAGCGGTCAGCAGCTAGGAGGGAGCAGCCGAACGGGCAGTCTAGCGGAGGGCTGGCAGGTCACCGGCTGTGCGCACGATGAGACCCGGAGAGGAGCGGCCCGTGGAGGGGGGCGCCTGTGCCGGCGTCTCCGAGCTGGAGCTGCTGAAGCTGCGCGCCGCGGAGCGCATTGACAAGGCGGCCGAGCGGCTGGGGGCCCTGAGCCGCGCGATCTGGAGCGAGCCCGAGCTGGCCTACGAGGAACACCGGGCCCACGGCGTGATGACACGCTTCTTCGAGTGCGAGCCTCCGGCCGCCTCGTGGTCGGTGCAGCCGCACTACCACCTGGCCACGGCCTTCCGCGCCGAGTGGGGGCCGCCGGGGGTCGGCGCGGCGCCGCGCCCCCTGCAGCTGGGCTTCCTCTGCGAGTACGACGCGCTGCCCGGCATCGGGCACGCCTGCGGCCACAACCTGATCGCCGAGGTCGGGGCGGCGGCCGCGCTGGGCGTGAAGGGGGCCCTGGAGAGCCTCCCCGGGCCGCCTCCGCCGGTGAAGGTGAGGTGGGGCCCTGGCTCGGGACTTCCATCGCCTGCCCAAGCCGGGCGGGACCCGGGGATCGCAGGACCCGGCGCTTCCCGTGCGAGTCCGCTCCCCTCGGGGTCCCGGCCTCGCCTTTGCCAGAAGACAGAACCCCTGGATAAAAGCCTGTAGTTCACGAGTTCCCGGCCCAGCGACATTTTTCAGATTTTTCGTTTTCTCTTACGTAGTTCTAAACGATTGAGTAGACTCTCCCTAAGGAAAGAACTTAGAACCGAGCCTGGTTTTCGCTGTGATTTATTTTTGGTAACAGAGGTAACCGCAATTTGCTGACAAGGTTGTGCAATCTCTGGAAGAAGTAGTTATTGTAGGGAAACCTATAGTCCCTCGTTACGAGGCTCCAAAACCTCTTTTGTTTGTGGCAGTCATAGGAGCTGTTGTGATTCGAATCATTGGTATTTGGGTAGGAAATTTTCAGTAATTAGAACTACCAAACCTCCCCACAAAAAGTGGGGAAGTGAATGAACATTTACAGCATAGGTGAATTCATCCTTAAATTTTAGTATTTCATGATTTTAAGAAATTTCTCCTTCTTTAAGTGGGGGAAATGCCGTTTATGTTTGTTATAGGGCAAGTGTAATCTCGTGTTGCTGTGTTTTTTCAGATGGTATATCCTTCGTTCTGTGAACTAAGATACATTCGTCTCCATTCGGCTTAAGGGCAAGACCGAGGTTTTCTTTCATATTCTGTAGCCCATTTTTTTTCCAATGTCAGTAACTTTTCTTTTAACAGTTAATCTTTTGTGGCTTAGCCTCTTTTAGCTGCCTTCTCTTTTCTGCTTCTGGGGGCTTGATTTTGCATCTGGGTAGGTTTTTGTTTTGTTGGGGGGTGGTGTCCTTTGCCATTGCACGAAACACTGGAGATGCTTAACTTCAGCCAAGTTTATGAAAGATTCAGGGAAGTCAGCAAAATTTAACTTGAGAAGTCATCAGATTTAAGGAGTCAAGGACTCAGAGTAAAAAGTAGGTTAATGTAAGAGTTTGAGTGGTTTCTAGACTTCCAAAGAAGGTTCAACTTCGGGAAATGTACACTTTTGAAGGGTACTGCATAGTTTTAGCAAGGTTATCTTTCCTCTCTGAAAATGGAATTTATGTTGATTCCCTTAAGGAGCCAAGCCTTTTCCCAACCTGTTTCATTGTATTCCTATACATGATCTTGAAAGTGTACTGGGTTTTTTTTTTTTTTTAAGATTTTATTTATTTATTTGAGAGAGAGAGAGAGCACA